TTAATAGTTCGACCAGTTTAATATTTTCCCCTGAAATTGATCTTAAAATTCTCCGTAGCCGTGACTCTTTCCTTTAATATCGTTGTTCTTCTCACATAGCTGAGAAACTTGAACTGAACAATGATTGTGCCCTTACGGGTTGCAATGGTGAAGCCAACTTTTGGCGGGTCAGCCAACTTATTGCCGCGGGTCATAGGTTGCCGACCTCTGGTATAGATAAACTTGAATTTCGGTAACAAATAATGATTGTTTGGTTGTTTTTGTAATTAAGCACAAAGCTACACAAAGGGCTATCTGTGCTCTGCCCACCACGGGTATCGAAACCCCATTTCTAGCGTTGTAAATCCGCAGACATACCGCTGTGCCACTGGGGGGCGACAAATAATGAAAAATAAATAAATTAACCTATACATTAATTCAAACTGCCTCTGAGGAACACTATAATTTAGTCAAAATTTTGTTTCAAGCTGATCCTAATAAAGACAAAGTTAAGTTAAACCTTAATTTAAGCAGCCTCTGATTAGGACTAGAAAATACGTTAATTTAGGCTTCCCCTAATGAAGCCTGTGGTTTAGTAGAAGCGGTAGTTTTGTGTTACTTCTTATATAGATTGATATTTAGTTAAAATATTACTTCGAGCTGTCTTTCATGAAGACTACGGTTTAGTTTAAACTTGCTGCCTTTGAGTTGGACTATAGATTAGCCTAAATAAATTTATACTGCCTTCCCTGAATACTGTGGTTTAACCCAAATTAATTTCATACTACTCCTGATATAGACCGAAGTTTAGTTTAAATATTTTTTCAGGCTGTCTTCGGTCTGGACTAAATTTTGTTTAAAGCGATAATTGTAACTTTGACGAACACTGCATCTTAGACTAACTTTGATTATAGATTTTTCCTGATTAAGATTGTTGTTTAGTTGCGACGTTTATTCAGGCTGTTCTAATTAAAATTTTACCATTTACCTAAATCTTTTATTAGATTACTTTTATCTAAGTTTAATCACAATTAATTCAAGTTGTCTTTGATTAATATTAAATTTTGATAAAAATGTCATGTCAGGTTGCCTCTAAAGGCTATAATTAAGTAAAAAAAAACGATATTTTAAGTTGTTTTCTATGACGACTATAAATAATTTGAAGCATTAATTCAAATTGTTCTTGAATTAAGATTAAACTTCAATTAAAACGGGCAACGCTGAACGTATCTTTGGAATATTAATTGAAATTGCTGTACTAATAAATTGTGTAGTTTAGTTGAGACGTTGTATGGTTCGGATTACCTTTATTAAAGATAATAAATTTTAGAAAAAACATTAATACAAGCTGCCACTGATGAAGACTGTTGCCTGACTATAATGTTCATATAACTCATATTGCATTTGCTGAAAGCTGTTGTTTAGTAAATAAATTGATTTTAGTTTTCGAATTGAAAAAACAATAATGATAAAAATAATATCATATGTGTGTGATATAGTAGAAACTTTTATTTTTCCTGGTACTACCACATCCTCTGTAAGTGATTAAATATCAAATATTCAAAGCAATACCAATACTCTTGGGTAGAAATATGCATAACTTCTGTTTTCATTTATATTACAACTTCATTTTTTTTAACTAGGCATAACTTCGAGAGCCATCTGGTGTAATTACAAATAGGAGCTTCATTACAATACCTGAAGCATGTTTGTCCTCATTTACTAGCATATAAAGTAGTGGTGACCTTTAGTTGAGTTGAGGCACATTTAGTAAAAGAGCTTTTAACTTTTGACTTTCAACCCTTCTTTTCATCAACCTCAGAGCGTGACTTTGCATTAACAAATATTTATCTTCGTTTTTATCCTGCAGGTGTCTCTTGTCGAATGCTCTTAATTTTTATAGACTGAATACCAATATAGCACCTATCTCAAGAACCACATTTCGTACTTAGACCAGTACAACACTTATCTCAAGAACCACATTTCGTACTTAGACCAGTACAACACTTATCTCAAGAACCACATTTCGTACTTAGACCAGTACAACACTTATCTCAAGAATCACATTTCGTACCTATACCAATATAGCACCTATCTCAAGAACCACATTTCGTACCTATACCAATATAGCATCTATCTCAAGAACCACATTTCGTACTTAGACCAGTACAACACTTATCTCAAGAAACACATTTCGTACCTATACCAATATAGCAACTATCACAAGAACCACATTTCGTACTTAGACCAGTACAACACTTATCTCAAGAATCACATTTCGTACCTATACCAATATAGCACCTATCTCAAGAACCACATTTCGTACTTAGACCAGTACAACACTTATCTCAAGAATCACATTTCGTACCTATACCAATATAGCACCTATCTCAAGAATCACATTTTGTACTTAGACCAGTACAACACTTATCTCAAGAGTCACATTTCATATCTAGACTAATACAACACTTATCCCAAGAATCACATTTCGTACCAAGACCAATAAACCAATACGATACATATTTTAAGAACCACCTTTCGTACTTAATACATTTATCTCAGTAATCAGCGTTCATATCTAAAACCTGGTGATAAGGGCACTCAACTCACAATATGCAGGTCGCGAGTTCGAATGCCGTAACCGAAAATTCTCGCCTTTTCAGCCGTGGGGACGTTATAATGTGACGGTCAATCCCACTTTTCGTTGGTAAAAGAGTAGCCCACAAATTGGCGATGGATGATGTTGACTAGTTGCCTTCCCTCTAGTCTACCACTTCTTAATTAGGGACGAATAAAGAAGTTAGCCCTCGAGTGGCTTTGCGCAAAATTCGACAAAAACAAACATACTTAAATTTTTTAGAAAGGGTAAATAAAATAGACTCTTTGGAGATTACAAAAAATAGAAATTAGAAAACACCTAAAAATTAAATTGAATTAAGGTTTGGTAATAAGAAGTAATTATTATTTGAGAAGTTAAAAAATTGATGATGAAATTATAGCGATCGAAGGATCTAAGGTTCGAGACATAATCCTGGTGAACACATTCCGCACTTTTATCTGGGGACGCGTTAAGAAGTGACAGTAAACCTCATTATTGTGTCCAAAAATGGCCGTTATACACGCCGAATTAAAAAAATAATAATTCTTACTGTTTGGCGAAAAAAACAAACTGCGCAAATCATTAGTAATTATGAAAAAACTAAGTATTAGATTAAATAATTAAACGGTCTACATCAAATCGAAATTATCCAGAGGGCTTAACGGACGATGTTTTTGAGCCCAATTACACTAAATACAAGTTAATCTAAAGAAACTAATTTTAAAAGGGGATTAGAGATCGTTAAAAAATCACAGAAACAAGTTGAATCAAAATGCAAAGATTATATTTTCAAGTCTACAACTAGATACTCCAAAAAAGTTAACAAACTAGACTGGAAATAGTGCTTACTTTATTTTCTTAAGCTACAAATTTCTGTCTTGACTCCACGTCTACAGTTCTTACCAATTTTAGTGGAGTCAAAAAAGGGATTTGTAGCATGAAAAAATAATGTAGAAACAATTTCCAGCTTAGTTTGTTTACTTTTTTTTTGGAGTACCTAGTTGTAGGTCTGAAAATATAATCTTTGCATTTTGATTCAACTTCTTTCTGTATTTGTTGACGCCCCTCTCCTCCTTTTTAGATTAACCATTTTTAATTATCTTGTTTCTTAAATTTTCATGTCTATTTATGGAGAATAAATTTTAAGCTACAAGCGTGCGTGTGCATACAGTTGAATGTTACATGTTTTTCAACAGTTTACTGTTGCATTGGTTTATTTCTTCATCCAACTATTATTTACTGAGCCAGGTGGTTTTGTGCCTGAGGTTTCGTGTAAACACTCGTTTAACAAGCATCGAGTACAAAGAAAACCGCTCACAACAATATTGCATATATCATGTATTTATAGCCAGCCATGTAATTCAACTTTCAATGAAAAAGGTCCAACTTTTTAAATAGGTCATGGATATTCGCAGCGTTTCATATGGTATATCTGTCTAGGTTTTGGTGCAAAATACCTAGCCGATTTTGCTGTAGACTTGTGAAACAAAATATGAATAATAATAATATATGCACTCACAATTTCAGCGAAGTACAAAAGCCAGTAGAATAAATCACTATGGTAATCGTCTACTATTAGAAAGCTCTCTGAAATAGTCGCAGAAAACCACGTAAAGACAAAGTACAACAGTGAACTTGAGAAATGATTAATCCTCAACTTGGAAGTTTCCAATTAATGCCCTATAAGTTGCACAAATTATTTTCTAATTAATGCGCATTTGGTAAAATAACGAATTTTTTCAATGGCAAAAAAATGAAGGCGCTTGAATTAATTTTAAAACTACCTTATGACATACTCAATACTGCATTCATTACTATTGTCCAGGTTTCAGAAAAATTTTTGTTGCCGTTTTTTTTTTCTCTAGCGGCTTGTAAAACTATAATCAATAATAATATGGCTGAAGACACTGTTATAAATATACACATTGTTTACTCTAATAAAACAAAGCGTTTCGGGCTACTATAAAATGGAGAATTTCCGACTAGTATAACGGTGCTTAAATGGCTTCTACATTTCTGCAATGCTTGAATGGTTTCGAAGAGCTTATGTTGGTAGCAAAGAAGAAAATAGAAAATTTTAGAGGGTGGACATCTCGTCTTTCAAGAATCAACTTAAAAATAGCCCTACAACATTTGCAGGAGTTTGCTTAATAGCTGTGCATAGATTTTGGCGTAGTATACCTAGCTGTGTTTGCTGTAGGCTTCGGTACTCGAATGACTTCGAAGAGAAACTTTGCCAGTAGCGATGAAAAACTGATAAAATCTCTCCTCCTCTTTCAAGAATCACCATTAAAATAATCCTATGGCCTGGGCAGGAGTGTTTTTAGAGGGTTTACCCAGTTTCTAATAAAATATTCACACCCGTTTTTTCTGTAAACTTTTGAAACGAGAATAATATGAATGATAATAATAAGATGAAGAACAAATGGATGATTTTTGAATTTTGTCTAACAATCGGAAAATCAACTTTTTTGCTATTATCGATATTTTAGCAGCATTAGCCACTGAGATAGAAGATTTTGAGTGTTGTTTCAAGAACAAGTTTGCTTTTTTAAGATGGTTTTTGCCAGTATGGTCTATTATAAAAAAAAATTTAATTCCTGGGCGATCCCTATTATGAACCACTATTGTGGTTCATGATGGACCACAAAAGCCATAAGCAAGGAAATGTGCTACCTATAGTTACTACGTATTTATGTTGTATATACACATCTTAATATAAGTATGTTACTCACAGCCACTACGTGTCTATCTGGTACACATCTTAACTACGTACATCTTAGCATAAACATAAATGTGTTACTCACAGTCACTACGTATTTGCGTGGTACACATTTTAACATAAATTTACCTACACTCACTACGTATTTATGTGGTATATACACACCTTAACTTAAATTTGTTACCCTACCAATGTTCCCTCTAAGCTGCGCAGCCGCACAACAACCAATCAAGTGCTGCGCACTTCATCATTCCAGCCGCGCACTTCCTCGGTAATGGTAAGGAGTCTCAACACATCGATGCCCTTAATCACCGTAGCAGCTGATAGACCTAAAGCCCAAATAACCAACTGGTAGCATTGCAAAGCGGCCTAATGATCCAATATGGTTGTTGGTCTAAAAATACCCCCCTAAAAAACTGGTAGCGCACATCCGCACATTGCTTTGATACTGGAGCACATGAAAAAATTCATTCTGCTCATGGATTGAAACAATTAGAGGGAACATTGGTCACTACATACTTGTGTATTTAACTTCATGAATCTTAACATAAATACAAATGTGTTATCTAAAGTCACAACGTACTTATATGGTACACATTTTAAAATAATTGTTGCGTACACTCACTGTGTATCTATATACTGCACATTGAGTGTAAGACTCTAGTTTCAAGTTGCACCTCTAAGAAAGTTTAAAAAAAGACTGAAAATTAAACTAATATAGCTTTCGAACAACCTAAGAATATCATCTGTTTACTTGATTAAAGACAAAAATCATTCTTTGTGTTATATAGCTGAAGTATTATTCAGTGTAAAGGCTAACATCACTAGCAATTGTATTAACCAAACTTGAGGTTTATTGAAAGGGGAATATTTTCTTTGGTTTGCTTCAAGTTTTGTGTGTATTTGGAAGAAATAAAAGATTATTCCCTGAAAGTTAAATAATAAAGCAATTGGAAGTGTTTTATTTGTGTTTAAGCGAAAACTACTCAATGGGAAATTTCCTTTAAAAACTTATAATCTAGAATTAGTCAATTGATTTCATTTTTTTTCTATTCACAAGGGTTGTCTGGAGTAGTGATCCCTGTTCGAGGTCTCGCATGTGACGTCACAAATCTTCCTGTTTCATTCATTGCTACCATATTGGACGTCAAAAATTACCTTCTAGAAATTAATAGCAATGCATATTAATGTAAGATTCACATGTTTTTATATTTGATGACGAGAAACCCTCTTTTAGAAAGTAAAGTTTGGAGAAGGCTTGAATGGATAATGAAAGAAACTTTATTACAAGTAACAAATGTCTTTCATTAACTATTCAAGCCTTCTCCAAACTTTATTCACACCATTCTGTGGTAAAAACAGGGTGGAAGGCTAGCCAGTTTCTCGATATGTCTTTTTTATTCACATCGCTGAGATGATTTACAGCATCACAGAACAGGATATTACAAGACGAATTCGTAATCTTTACCTA